GAAGGGAAGGGAAGGGAAGGGAAGGGAAGGGAAGGGAAGGGAAGGGACAGGTCTTTTTCAGATTTCAGCTTCAGCATGTATTGCATTCTGAGCAAATTGCTCCAATTTTCCAAATAGTACTGACGATAGCTCCATGGTTTGGGGTCACGGATCTGAGTGGTGCAGCAGAACACACAGCCACGTTGGGGGGAGTTTGTAATTAAATGATTTTTTTTTCTTCCAACATCATTGAACAGCTTTTTATGTGTTTCAGTGTCTGGATCCTAATGAAGTGACAATGCAGAGATGAGCTTGTCACAGGAGGAATTTATCTTAATAGCACAGAGCAGGGACAGCTCTATCTGGAGGCTCAGGACTGAGCTGCTCCCACCTGGAACTGCAAAAGGGATCTGGGATGGAGTGGATTTAGGACAGAGGGTGATCTGGGAGAGCAGCAATCTGGGATGGAGGAAGATCCAGGATGGAGGAGATCTGGAATGGAGGAGTATCACGGATGAAGGAGATCCAGGATGGACAGGATTTAGGATGGAGGGTGATCCAGGATGGAAGAGATCATGGGTACAGGGGATCCAGGATGGAGGGGATCTGGGTTGGAGGATGGCTGGGGATTGCGGACAGAGAGAGTGCAGAGGGAATCCTGGATGGCTGTGGATCCTGAATAAGGGGGGATCCAGCACTACTCCTGGGGGCTCTGATCCTGGCTTAACCCTTCCCAGCAGCTCCCCAGGGGGGTCCCATAGCACTGGGTCTGGGGGCACAAGACCCCTCCTAGGGCTGCAGGATCTCCCCTGGGCTGCAGGACCCCCCATGGCTGTTAGGACCCCCCATGGGTGTTCAGAACCCCCCTGAAGTTGCTCATTTTGGTGCTGTTGGGGCTCAGGGTTTCCCCGCATGCCCAGGGCACAGCTCCATGGGGCCGGGTGAGGCAGCAGCAGGAAGCTGGGGTGTGACGGGTGCCACCCACTGCTCCCGGCCAAAGTTGAGTGGAGCAGCAGCCGGCAGCACCCAGGGGTCCAGCAGCACCTGGGTGAGTGTCTCTGAGCCTGGGGAAGGGTACAGAGAGGGGTATTGGAGGTCCTGGGCCTTGAGGCTGAGCTGTGGGGAACATGGGTACATTGAGGATGGTGTCAGTGTACACATGGGGAAACTGAGGCAGGGTGGGCTCGCACGGATGGGGAATGTCTGAAATTACCCCTGTGCTCCTCTGGAGCATCCAATAGGAACGAGTACTTGACTGAGTGGGTTTCTGGAAGAAAAATCCTTCCAGCCTATGACCAATTACCCCACAGAACCCAGCTCCCTGGGGTGAGGGCACCCACGTTGGGGACAACTCACCCCTAACAGCTCCACAGTACAGGCAGGGTGCTCTGGACACGGTGGGGGGGTCACAATAGGGTGCCAGCACCGGGCAGGGCAGCACAGAGCCAGCAGAGCAGGCTCAGCCTGTTGGGCAGATCCAGGCTCTCTTTGCAGGGTTTCCACCCTGAAACTTTCCTGTGCAGAGCCCAACCGACCCCCAGTCAGTGTTGGGCAGGGGTCTGGTGGGAGACAGAGCTGGGGACAGAGCAAGGTTTCAATGGAGGTGCAGGAGGGATGCAACAGGGGCGCAGCAGGGATGCAGGATGGCTGCAGAGGGATGCAGTGGGATACAGTAGATATAAAGCAGGGATGCAGTGGGGATGCAGTGGAAATGCAGTGGGATACAGTAGATATGCAGCAGAATGCAGTGAGAATGCAATAGGGGTGCAGTGGGAATGTAGTGGGGATGCAGAGGGGATGGAGCAAGGTTTCAGGGAGGATGCAGCAGGGATGCAGTGGGAATGCACTTGGGATGCACTAGGGCTGCAAGAGGGATGCAGCGAAGATGCAACGGGATCCAGGGATGCAGAAGAGATGCAGGAAGGATACAATAGGTATATGGTGGGATGCAGCGGAATGCAGCAGGGATGCAATAGGGATGTAGAAGGAATGCAGTGGAATACAGCGGGGATGTAGCACGGATGCAGGAAGGATTAACTAGGGATACAGTGGGATGCTACCCCTCTCTCCAGCCCCTTTTTCACCCACCCTCCCCATTGCAACAGTGGGGAGAGCAGCCACCAAACACGGGTGTTTGAGTAAGAGCAAAAGCTGTGAGGTGAGCCGGGCGCCATGGGGTGTGACAGCGCTGTGTCACGGCACAGCTATGCCAGCAATCCAGGCCTGGGATGGGGCACGGCTTCCTGCAGCCCTCAGGCACCACGGCCCATGGGTGCCAACCCTGGGCACAGGGCCCTGCCTGCACTGCTATCACACCAAATCCTCTGTGGGCTGAGCTGTGGGGGGACAGTGCTGTGTAGCCCTGGTTGGAGCAAGGGATGAGAATTCCTAGGGAATCTGTGTGAGAAAAGCTTCCTGGAAGCAGAGTGAGGTCAGCCCTGCACCTATCCTGAAGTGTGCCTGTCCCCCACCAGCTCCTATCGATGGCCCCGGTGCTGCCGTGGGGTTTGGCTGCTGCTGCACCCATTGGGTTCCTGCTATTGCTGTTCTTCTGCGCCTTCTGCCCCAGGTATGTGCCCTCACATGGGGGATTTGCGAGGACTCAGCACCCCATGGGGGTCGTGCCATGCTTTTTGGCTCAGCCAAAGGGTGGCCATGGGAACATTGGTGCCACCATTCCCTTTCTACAGGGCGAGCGGACGCCTCTCCACCCAGAGCAACGCAGGGAATTCCGGGCTGGTGAGAGCGGTGCGGCCGAGGGGGCTCTGCTCTGTGTCCCCATCCCCTTTTTGTCCCCGTGTGCCCACTGCTAATGTCCCCATCTCATTAACAGTCGATCCCCACCCGTAACAACCCGTCCCTGCGAGGGACAGCCGGACAAGGGGACAAACGGGCTGTGCACCCCTCCATCCCCCATCCCCTATGAATCCTTTCTTCACTCAAAACGAGACGTCGTCGGATGTCGCCGCGTCGCTCCTTGGGGACAGCGCTGTCGCACGGGCTTGGACAGCCCCCCAGCGTCGGCAGCGGGAACGGTCCCGAATCCCCCCCCCAAAAAAAACCAAACCCGAAACATCAAGGGGACGTGGGGACAGCCTTAGGAGTGGGGGAGCGGGGAGAATCTCTCGTGGGGTTGAGAGGCACTGAGCCCAGCGCACCCCTAAAGGCCAGAGAGGATATTTGCGGGGCTGGGGGGCGATAGGGGGGCAATGAGACGCAATGGGGGGGCAGGCATGAGGCGTGTGAGCGTGCGCGAGTGTTGCACAAGAGTTTGGGGCGGGTGCGCGAGCGTCTCTTCGTTTCTGCTGCAGGTGACGCTGTCGGGACCGGGCTGCAGAGATGGGGAAGGAGCGCTGCTGGGAGGTAGGGACGGGGCAGGGGACGGAGAGACGGGGACAGCGATGGGGACAGGCGGCGGCGGCGTTCCGCTACCCCCGCTCCTGCTGCTGTGCGCGCTCCCTCTGCCCCACGCGCACCCACCTGCACGGGTGCTGCGCACGAGGAAACCGTTGCACACGCCTGAGCGTGCAACACGCGCGTGCAAATGTGCACATGCACGCGCTTATGTGCGCGCGCGGCCGTTGCATTGGCACACTTGCCCGCGGGCGTGCAAATACACGTGCACAGACACAAGTGTGCATTGCACGCGTGTCTGCGCGCTGTACCACCGCAGTCCGAAGGTCCGCGGCGCGGTCCTGCCGGCGCTGTTAATGATTTGCTCGCTCCGAGGACTGGGAGGAGCCGCGGCTTTGCGGGACTTTGAGCTGCTGCTCACATTGGAGTGCCCGCCTTGGGGTGCTCAGGTTGGGGTGCTCGCTTTGGGATCTTTGCGTTAGGGTGATCGGCTTGAGGTGTTTGTGTTAAGGTGCTCACGGGGGGATGCTCAGCCTGGAGTGCCCGTTTTGGGGGGGCTCAAATGGGGATGATTGCACTGGGATGCTCACGTTGGGGTCCCCACTTTGGGATGTGCATGTTAGGGTTCTCACCTTGGGATGTCCATTGTAGGGTGCTCACACTTGGGATGTTTGCATTGGGATACTCAGATTGGGACGCCCGTTTGGGATGCTCACATGGGAATGCTTTTGCATTGGGATATTCAAGTTGGGATGCCCTCTTGGGATGCTTACTTGGGAATGCTTGCACTGTGCTACCCACGCTGAGGTTCCCCTTGTTTGGATGCTCAGGTTGGGATGCTCACTTTGGGCTCTTTGTATTGGGGTGATCAATTTGAGATGTTTGTGTTAGGGTGCACGCATGGGGTTGCCCGCAGTGGAGCACCCGTTTTGGGGTGCTCAGGTTGGGGTGCTCACGTGGAGATGCTTGTAGTGGGATGCTCACATTGGGGTGCCCACTTTTAAGTGCCCATGATGGGATGTTCACTTTGGAAAACTCAGTGTTGTGCTCACATTGGGATGCTTGCACTGGGATACTCACATTGGGGTGACAACTTTGGGGTTCCCACACTGGAGCATTCAGGTCAGGATGCTTGCATTGGGATGCTCACATTGGGGTGTCCACTTCAGGGTGCTCAAGTCGGGATGTTCACTTTACAGTGCTCAGGTTGAGGTGCTCACTGGGATACTTGCAGTGGGGTGCCCACTTTGGGATGCTCACATGGGGATGTTTGCAGTGGGGCGCTCAGGTTCGGGTGCCCACTTTGGGATATTCGTGTTGGAGTGATCAGCTTGAGATGTTTCACTAAGGGTGTTCACATGAGGATGCCCACGTTGGACTGCCCACTTGGGGGTGCTCAAGTTGGGATGATCACATACGGATGATTGCATTAGAATACTCACATTGGGGTGCCCACTTTGGGGTGCTCAGGTTGGGATGCTTAAACTGTGTTTCCCACATTGGGATGCTCCCTTTGGTGTGCTCACACTGAAATGTTCACTTTGGGGGAATCTCCATTGGAGAGCCCATTGGGGTGTTGGTGCTGGGTCCTGTGGGGATGCTCACACTGGGATGCTCATGGGGCAGGGGTTTCAGGACACAGACGGAGGGCAGCAAAGAGGTCACGGCTCCGACCCCACAACTTCCTCTCTGTGGTCCTGCACCCAACCACCTGCTGCAGGGAACCTGCCCCCCAAGTCCCACAGCACCACGTCCCTGCAGCTTTACAACAGGAAGAGGAACACTCACAATGCAGAAGGAAACCTATTCCAGAGCCTCCTTCATCTCGGAGGTGAACAAACCGGCTGGGCACCCGCTCTGCCATCTCCTGCTGTTGACAGATCCTGCGCACAGGGCAGAACCTCCTCCTTAAATAAATATTTGAGCAGCGAGGGAAGGCGGGGAGCATGGGATGCATGGGGTTTTCCTTTGTTTTCTGTTGAATTTCTTGCAAAAACCAAAGAGAAGGGATAGAGCCGGCAGGCAGGAAGAAATGCACCAAAACTCTCATTTAAGAACATTTCCTCATTGCTACCTTACCCTGAAATGAGGGGGTGCCCCCACGCATCTCCCCCACCTCAGCCTCTCCCTCTCCTTCCCTGTAGGTGCATCGCCTTGCAGCAGGACAGACGTCACCAGTGAGGGGAACACGGACATCTCTGGGTCACCACACCCCAACACATCCCCTAAATCCTCCCCGAGGACCTCAGACTTCCTCCGTCACAGGCAGCTCCCGCTGCTGCCCGGTGACACCGCGGAGCCCGCAGTGGACGCAGTGCAGGATGCCCAGGGGTCCATCTACGAAAGCATCCGCTACAAATCCCAGAAGCTCAGTGCTGGGCTGGAGAAGCCCTATAGGGACGATGGGGACGATGGGGACGGTGGGGACCCAGTGCAGTGCTTTGTTGTGCAAGAGGAGCCGTGCAGCCCAGGCAGCCCCATACCTGTGTATGCTCGTGTCTGCAAAGTGTCCCGGGCACCACAGCACACGGTACCCAACAGCATTGAGCCCGAGGAAGAGGCTGCTCCAGCACTGCCAGAGAAGCGCTTTGACATCCTATAGGATGAGATGGAGGGATCTCAGGATTGGACACTGGGAAAAAGCTGGGTGCTAGGGAAAGGTTCTGCCCCAGAGCGTGGAGGGCATGGAACAGCTCCCCAGGGCACAGCCCTGACCTGCTGGAGCTCAGGGAGCATCGGGACACCACTCTTAGACACTGGCTTTGAGTTCTGAGTGTGCTGCTGGGATGTCCCCACACATCTGCAGCCCTGGGACCGGCTTGGTGCTCACCGTGCACTGATGGAGTATGGGCAACTCAGGGTCTTCTCAGAGCTTTCCCCCCAAAATACCAAGCTGCATCCCACGGGGGCACAGCATAATTCCCTGTGTCACCAGGCTGGGCTTTGCTCTGCTTCAAGCAGCGGCTTTGCTGGGGCTGAGTCAGATGGAGCAGAAAGGGATTTTGCTTTAAAGGAAAAAAAATAACAACTAAGAAGAAGAATACGCCTTTGACATGACTCCTGGCACAGGAGCTGGGGACGTTTCTGTTCTCACGTGTCGATGGCTGGCGCCATGCTGCATGGGGTGACTCATTTCAGTGCAAGATCTGGGGAGATCTCAGAGCCAGGGGAAATCAGGGACATTACTCATCCCTCTGCTCAGCACTTCTTAATGTTCCCAGAGGTGCCCTCGGTCACTGCAGGGGCAGTGCTGGGGGAAATCCCAGTGCTGCAGGGTCCAGAAGTGTCCGTGTGCTGAGTGCTCCCCAGTAACATATGGGCATGGCCCCATTTTCAGCTGTTAGATAATCACTTCCAGTGCACACGATGGTGTTGCTCACCTGCTGTCCTATACACTTACCTGCCTTCCTATATGTTCATTCACCACCTCAGCCTCCTGCCTCCTATATGCATGTCTACCTTCCTAAACACACCTGCATTCCTACATGCTCGCTGCATGTTCACCTGCCTCCACGTACGCCTCTCTCTATACCCATCTGCCTTCCTGTACAGTTATCCCCCTATAAGCTCACATTAGGCATGAAGGGGAGCCCAAAGGTGGGCTGTTTGGGGAATATTCACAAGAACTTCTAAAATTGCTGCCTGAGAGATGCAACACAGGCAGTGATAGGGCAGTGTCAGATCCCGGAGTGGCTCCCTAGCAAAAGCAAGCAGGTTGCAGGGCTGTGCCTTGCCCGATGTTACTGCCAAGTGTTACCGGCTTTCTTTGCGTGCCGCTCAAAGGACAAGTTGGTTAATGATTAATTCTGTATCCTGAATGAAGCGGTGGGGAAGAACTGGGACTGGCTGGGTGGTGAACAGCTCTTCATGGAGCTCCCAGCCAGTTTGGGAAGGGAGGAGATTTGGGTAAGGAGACTTGCTAACATCCTCCAGAAGGGTATTCCAGCTCGCAAGGGTTGGACAAGAAAGGCTTGGCTGGGATTTCAGCTGCTGCAAAGCACTCTCACTTCTTCACCCTTATAGAGAAGGAAAACTCACCAGCACCAAGCACCCACAATTTCATAGAGCTCTGCCATCTTCCTCTCCACCCAGCCCACGTGGATCACCATTCTCCTCATGCATCACACCCAAGAGAGCTTTTGCACATAAAGGAGCTTCTCCACACAGCCAATCATCCCCATCATATTCTCCAAATAAGACCACGCTGGGCTGTCAACCCAGACACAGAGCTCCACAGAGGAGCTCCAGCTTGTGTCCATTGCTTGGAGTTCCACATTTGGAACATTTGGAACATTTCTGGACATGAGGAAGTATTACTTTTCAGAAAGGGTGGTCAGGCACTGCAATGGATGCCCAGGGAGGTGGTGGAGTCACCGAGCCTGGGGGTGTTCAAGGAAAGGCTGGATGCTGTGTTGAGGGACATGGTTTAGTGGGAGCTATTGGGAATAGGTGAACGGTTGGACTGGATGAGCTTTGAGGCCTTTCCCATCACCACATTTGGTGATTCTATGATGCTATGATTTCAGTAGCTTGGATCCTCTCAGCTCCCAAAATAAGCCAAGATGAGATGCAAGAACAAGCAAGGTACAAAAAAAGCAAGGTTCCTGGAGAATACCTGAGGCTTGCTGAAGCTGTGCTAGCAGTGCAAAGGAAAGAGCAGAGCTTTTACAGTGAAACAGGCTGCCCAAGGAGGTTGTGGATGCCCCATCCCTAGAGGCATTCAAGGCCAGGCTGGATGTGGCTCTGGGCAGCCTGCTGACTGCACATAGCAGGGGGTTAAACTTGATCATTGTGGTCTTTTTCAACTCAGGTTCTATGATTCTATGGGAGTGGAAGCAAAGAGTTAAAAATGAGCAAGGAGAAGGAAGGGAGGGGAAAAAAGAAAAGCAAACAGGCCAGAGTTTATTAAAAAAAAAAAAAAAAAGCATAAAGAGGCAAAGAGCAGAAAAGGAAACCTCGTGAGTGTCTCTTCCTCTCTTGGCTTCTCCCTGCTTGGGCTGCAGGGAGGGGGAGGCTCTGCTGCGTGTGCCTGAAGGAGCCGGGTGCACGGCACAGCAACCTGCACCTACAGAGCAGTGCTCCAGCCCAGCACACGGAGGAGCTGCCCAGATCCACTCCTGTGCCCAGCTCTGGCTCTGTCCCACGATGCCAGCGGCACACAAACCATGCCACAACGTGTGTGACCTCTCCCCAGCCGAATTATCAGCGATGGGATTGCAACACTGGAGGAACAGAGCAGCGGAGCAGCTGGCCTGGGGGCTTTGCTGTTACACGGCCTGGGCAGCAACAGTTAAGTTCTGCATCACGTCAGCCCCATGCGTATAAAAGTCAGGAGCAGGGCATTGCCAAAGCCAGAACTGCGAGCACACTGCGCGCCAAGCAGCTTGTGCAACCACAGACACACTCGATGGCTTCTGCTTGACCCTGCTGGTTTTTCAGGCTATCGGGGAGCCCTGGCATGGCATTTCCAAACATTTTCCTCCTCCCATGAGAATTAAGGTTTTTAACACGTGAGCTGCGTCGGCTGGGAGAGCTGTGCCAGCTGCACTGTGCCTCTGCTGAGGGAAATGGAACATAACCGGAGAAAGCCCTCTCCTTTTGGTGGCTCCCAGGGGCAGGGCTGGCACCAGCTGTGGACAACTTCCAGGATGCAGCTCTTTTCCAGGGACGTGGATGCAGCCAGATTTGATCATTGGTGCTCAAGACCTCGGCGCTGTTAAATTCAGTAACGTTATTGCTGCCTCTGTGGCCGATACACTGTAAAATAAGAAAATCCTCCTAAGTCCCATCCACAGAATCACAGAATCGCTCGAGCTGGAAGGGATCCATAAGGATCATTGAGTCCAACTCCTGGAAAATCAGACCATGTGACTGAGAGCATTGTCCAGATGCTTCTTGGGATCATTTGAGATGCAGAGTCAAGCACTGCACGAGGCCATTTTGAGGTGATGGCTATCTAAAATGGACACCACACCCCACACCGCATTCATTTTGAGGCGATGGTCATCTAAAATGGACGCCACATCCCAGCATGGAGGCTCCAGCCTCACCACTAAAATGGCCAACATCACAGCACCAGGCTGTGGATGAGACAGAGTCAGACCAGGATGAGCTCAGAGTTCCTTTGGGATGAAACACCGTAAAAGCCTGGGCCAGAGCATGGATCCTGTGGGACAGAGCATGGATCCCATGGCCAGACTGCCCTGGCAAGAGATGACACAGAGGAACACCTGCACCTCAAGTCTCAAGGGCTTTGGGTTCTTCTGCTGTTCTCAGCTCATGATAGGAACGAGGTGAGCACAAGGAGGGTCAGTAGAGCTGCACACAACAGTGCAACACCTCAGGAAGTCCAGATGGAAGCATCCAGATGCATGGAGGTTGCCTTTGAGGAAAATATCTTGCTCTTGTTCAACACCATTGGCAGCTATAAATTCTGCCAATGAATTGGCAATAAATATATAAATTTACTTCTTCCCATATTCCTTCCTCATTTTACTTGACCCCACCAGCTGAAGAGTTGAAAAACAGCACATTCCAAATGTTTGCAACAAGACTGCAAGAACAAGAGTCACTTTCAGACTGGGACCTGGATTTTCACGCTCTGGAGTTGCTTGGATCTTGGTATGCATTGGTCCTTTCTAATGTCAATGACACATAGGAAAATTCGGCAAGAAAAAAACCCCTCCAGTTTATTTGGTTAATTTGGTCTTGGTGGCGTGGCTCTGATTCATCTCGTACCAAAACAAAGTGAACGATATTAATAGACCCAAAATGTCAGTTAAGCAGTTTATCCTGAGCTTGTGTACTCAGAAATGAATAATCTCTTGAGGTTGAGGGACAGCGGCCAAAGCACAGCGCTAGGCAGAGCAGTGGGTGGGTAAAACCAAGCCAAGCTTTTTCAGCTGCTAAGCACTGTTAGACTCAAGCTAACATTTAATATTAACTGAAATTAAAGCTGGAACTAATGATCATCCTGTGGACACAGCTCTACGTATTGGATTTTTCTCTCCACTGTGTTTTTTTGTGTTGTTTTTTTTTTTTCCCACTCTGCTTTAAAATGTTGCACAATAATTAAAAGATTGGGTACGTTGCTCACACTGCATTCAACACAACATGAGAACACTGTGCTAGGGAACGCTGCAACGCCAGGAAAACAGAATCTGGCATAGTTTGACTTCTGTGAAACAGTCTAAACCATCACCAAATACTTTCAACTGGAATCTTTCACTTACGGCTTCATGGAGATTCACCAAGATTCCCCATCCAAGATGCCAAGTTTTTGTGGGATGGGGAAGGAAGCCTCCTAGGTGACTGGGTCATTAGAAAATAAACAAGCAAACAAACCTGAGCAGGATAAGCAGTTTCACTGCAACTCCCCAGGGAAAGAGGTTAGCAGATGGGTCAGCATCTGGAATGGACAATCACTTGTTTAACACTGTTACAAGCTCTGAACAAAGAGCAAGCAGTGAGGTGACAATGTTCACAGGGAGGACAAAGTAACCCCAAATAACTGTGTCTGAAACAAGGGGAATATCGCACAGCACAGCGCAACGAGCAGATAGAATGGCAGGTGAGGTTTTATGTCAACAAGAAACACCTTGGAAAAATTATACTAATCATATGTATAAAGTTACAGAATCACAGAATGACCTGGGTTTGAAGGGACCTCAAGGATCATGAAGCTCCAACCCCCCTCCTCACACAGGGCCACCATCAGCTATTACCTCTCAGGGAAAGAGGCCTGGGGTTATCACTGATAGTTCTGTGAGTAGATCAGTTTAGCACTCCGCAGCAGCCAAATCAAATGCTGGCAGTTATTCTGAAAGGAAAGGAAACCAAAACATGATTTGATGTTGCTGCATAAACCTACGTTACACCAGATTTGACGACTGATGCAGTTCCGTCCGCTCCGTCTCCAAAAGCGTATGTAAAACCAGCCGGGCTGCAGGGAAGGGTCACTGAGGTAATCAGAGAAGACAGCTTCTGCACCAGGGAGGACAAAAAAGCCAAGGACACTTTGCAAACTACGTGCTTGGTGGGGCAGGCATGATAAAGAGCTCCTGAGTCATGGATATTCCAAGGGAGGCTAAAGAATAATCATACAGCATACAGGTAGGACAAGAGCTGGGGACACCAAAGAAATCCCAAGGTAAACAAGATGAAGTAACTTTTTCATGTAGCACATCGGCTGTGGGTGAACCGGACAGGGCAGGATGCTGCAGAGACCAAGCAAACAAAAAGGGTTCAAACTGGGACTATTTGACTAATTAATGGATATGGGGTACATTAGTCCTATTAAGCATGATAGGCTGATGCTCCTCAGGTTGAAAGAACCACAGAAAAGCTTCTATCCTGCGTGAAACAATCTCAATGCATGATTTCTAAAGCTGCCCTCCTCTCATTATTAACTGCTATACAGCATTACACCTCTCTTCATTTATTTCTTTCATTCTTTATTTCATCCTCCCCTTTCCTTCTGTCTTTCTTTCTTATTTTTTTTCTTTATTCCTTCCTGCCTTCCTTCCTTTCTCTTTCTGTTTCCTTCACCTCACCACTAAACTCTATGGAATATCACACATTTCTTCATTTCTTTCTTTCTTTCTTCCTTTTTCTTTCATCCTCTCCTTTCTTTCTGTCTTCTTTTCTTATTCTGTCCCTCCCTCCTTCCTTCCTCTCATTGTTTCCTTCATCTCATTACTAAATGTTATGGAATACCACACATTTCTTCATTTCTTTCTTTCATCCTCTCTTTCTGTCTTCCTTTCTTACTCCTTCCCTCCTTCATTCATCTCATTACTAAACTCCATGGAACACCACACCTTCCTTCATTTCTTTCTTTAATCTCCCCTTCCTTATTCTTTCTTCCTCTTTATTCCTTCCTTCCTTCATCTCATTATTAGCTATGGAATACACTTCTTCATTTCTTTCATCCCCTTTTTTTCTTTATTCCTTCCTTCCTATTTCTCATTGCTCTTTGGCTAAGTGCTGCTCTTCTCATTCCTGTTCATCAAATTACCAAACACTATGGAATACAATGCTTTTCTTCCCTTCCTTTCTTTCTGCATTATCCTTCCTTTTTCTTTATTCCTTCCTTTCTTCTTATTGCTTTTCCTTTATTCCTGCCTTCCCTCCTTTCTTCTTCATCTCACTATTAAACACCATGGATATCCTTAGATGGGGGTTTGGATTGTCAGGGTCAAGGCCCTGCTACCTCTCACTGAGGCTGAGCTCCAGCCCACCCCATTTAGTTTAGTTCCAGCAGTTTTAACCCAACATCCACCCCACACTCCATAGCTAAATGAGAAATTAGCGAAGCCAGCAGCAGCCAAGCTGGAGGGAGATGCAAACAACACCA